ATTTGATTAGTGGATTGGTTTTGCAATCGTTTATTATTATAATCTCTTTATAATAAAATCTATGTAATTATGAGCGAAACTACAGCCCAGAAGTGGTGTTCACTTCGCAAACAAAACTTATTCAGTGATCGGAATCCCAATGAATGCCATCTGAAAGAGGATGTCATATACCGGCGATCGTATACTTTAAGACCCACTCTGGCTATCGATACGAAGAATGCCAGCAATAAAAGCAATACTAAAGACATTAAGCACTCAATGGTTCCGACGACTCAGAAAGAGAAGAAATGTTTTGTAAATAAAGCCAAAAGAGATTTAAAGGCAACGAAAGCCATAAAACCTGTTATTGAAGCCAAAACATCAATAAAGCCTAAGGCTATCCATTTGAATGACAGCAGAGATGAAGAGCTCTTTAGGGCATCCGATGCGAGGCGACGGTACGCCAGGAGTGTGTCTTTGCCCTCAATTGCCATACCATCCAAACGGTCGACTGAATCGGACACAACTGCCAAAGAGTCGTCCGAAGAGATGATGAATCAAATCCGGAGACGAGTTTCGCAGATAATCGACTCAAATCTGTTATCGGATTTGTCGGCACAACAAAAGGCCAGACATTCGCGAGAATCCAAGTCTGAAATTAAGGAACAGATGATTGAAGAGCCGATGACTACTACCACCGCTGGAAAGCAAAACGAGGACACAATCAATAATAAACTTTTGAATTTAATAAAACAACGACAAGAATCCGATGACAAATCTACACAGAGATCAGATATTAACGATTATATCAAGAGATTAGAGGAATTAAATAAATTAGTTAATGAAAGGCAAGAGAATATGGTTTACAAGAAGTACAATGAAAACGAAAATATGTTTAAAACGAGATTCAATGAGAAAAATAAATTAAATTTCAATCAAACAGAAGATAATGAAAGACTTTCGGCTAACGATTACATTAAACGCAAATATTGCGAAAACTTAAGTAAAAACTCGCTTTCATTGATACAGAACTGCTATTTCACAGAAGATTGATCCCAAATGCGGACAACTAATCGGCCATTTTATTGTCTTTGGCCATAGAGTGCGCCCACCAGTTCAACGACGTCTTCCAGCTCTTCTTCAGCGCTTCGGTAAACTTGGATTTGAAGTGATTTCTCGCCTGTTCTTCGTTCAGATCGAGAACCAGTGTTTCCCTTAAGTAATCGAGATCTTTGACTACCAGTTCAACGATGTCTTCCAGCTCTTCTTCAGCGCTTCGGTAAACTTGGATTTGAAGTGATTTCTCGCCTGTTCTTCGTTCAGATCGAGAACCAGTGTTTCCCTTAAGTAATCGAGATCTTTGACGGACGAGAGCTCTGGTATTCCCGTGGATAACATCATCGCAAACAAGGATATGATAAAAGAGCCCCTTTTCCTGATGATCATAAACGCCTGCTCGCAGTACTGCTGGAAACGGATGAAGTCGTCCGACCGCTCGGGTTTCTGGCCGTGAGTTATCACATACACAAAGTCATTGGTCAATACGAACGGCACTCTCTCGCGTCGGATACCGAACTTCTCCTTAAATTTGCCCAAAATGTGGCCGAAGTCTATGTGAAACAACTGTCCGTTTTTGGTGACCATAATGTTGTCGTTGTGCCGGTCGGCCACTCCTAGTATATATGTGGCCACACAATAACCGGCGCAGCTTAGGGTGAATTCTTCAATAGACTTATTGATGCTCTCTTCGGTCGGGTTGTGGTCCTTAAGCCACGACAGGAGTGACTCCTTCTTGAAGGCGGCGATCGCTGAGACGGCCTTCTCTTTCTGGATGTTGGCAATGGTGTCGGCGTTTAAGACCACTTCAATGAGACCCACGTTATGGTCGGTGGATATGCATCGGTACGCATTCATACGAAAGTCCAGTCCCTCGTCTTTCCACAACTTATCCATTATCCTAATCATCTGCAGAGTCAACATGTCTTGTCTCAAGTCTGACATCAGGAATAAAGTATAAATTCGTATCACAAAACAAATCTTATAAACCGATTAACAAATTTGATAAACAAGTAATAAATTATTTGAATATCTGCTCTGTTTTATGTAATTTTATCGCAAACTTTTATCAATCTCTCAGATTTTAAGTATAGGCTTACGCTTCACTTTTTTTTGTCTGTAAACTTTACAGTGTAAAGCATACCATAAATCATAACTTATTTAATGACTTAATAAAAAAGAAATTTTTTGTTTAGTATAAGACTTTTTATAAAAAGATAACAAACATAAGACTATAGACAAGGCATTGGATTAGACAATAAAATGAGACAAATGGCAGACCGTCTCCGTTCTTGAAGATGAGATACGTGTCGGACGCGTCTTCGTCTTCATTCTTGAAGACCAGCCAAAGAGGTTTCATCTTTGAGTCCATAAATTTGCATTTGTTTATACGAATTGATCCCAATTTGTAGATCGGGTTCAATGGGTTGATGATATGGAGGAGCGACTCCTCGTAATACTTGCGGCCAATAATGTCTTGCATTAAAACGATTCTCTTGTCGCGACTCTCTTTACTCTTATCGTCTCTAATCATTTCATTGACACGTTTCAGTTTACTCAGGGCCTCCGTTTGGCGCACCAGAATCTGCATGTGATCCATAGCACCCCTACAGTAGGCTTTTGGCCATCAAATATATATTCGGTTAAAACTTATACACAATTGGGTCCCAAATGGTAAAACCAATTTCAATGGTTTCATGAAAAATCACATGAAAATGATTGTCGAATAGAGACCTTCGAGTATGAGTCCGAAAGTGACGGAAACTGCCGGCACATGCATTTCGCTCCGGAGTAACCAAAACAATGAGTGACCGATCCGTTGGTTATTATACGCGCGCTCTAATAGGAAGTGCACTAAATCGCAGTACATATACGACTCGTATTTGAGCGCCTGAACCAATTGCAACAGATATAGCGACAATTCCTCGTCGGTTATGCCTTTTGTAAGCAATGGTTCGCAAAGTTAACGAAAGTTTTCAAACAACACTCACTCTCACAGACAGTACATACCTTTGAGACACTCGATGGCAAACTTACGGACCCAACAGTCGGCGTACGCGTAGTCGAGTAACTCGAGTGCCTTTTCGGGCACCAGTTTTGGCCACTCCTGAAGAAAACTCAACACTTGTGCCACTCTTTTATGATTATTCCATTTGAACGAAATCAAGAGTTTGTTCAACGAATGCGGTAATAGATTACGACAATCCTCTCTCAAGAACCACAACAACTCCCTCTCCTGTTCTGTGATCTTATGCAAGAGGTCTCTGTCGCAGATCTCTTTGATCTGTTCCACGAACTGTTTGCTGGCGTGTCGTGTGTTTCGGGAGTGAGTGGGCGTCTCATCCATCACCTCATTCTCATCGATACCGTCTGTTATGCTTTTGTTGAGTGCCGTCTGTTTTAAGAGATCACTCATCGATGGAAATGTGATTTGTGTCTCGCCGTCAGAGTATTTGTTGAACGTAATGGTCAGACACGTGGTCTGATCCACATTAGGATTGGGCACAACTGTTCCCAATGGGTTAAAAAGCTCTAATTCTGTGTCTTCGACCACATTCTCGAAGTCCCACATCGAGAGAGTGATTGAACCCGTTTTCAGAATATTCTTGAAATCAAATATAGTTGTATTGGCCCACGAAATGGGCGTCTGTTTAGCCTTCGCTTTCTTCGAGTTGTTTCCGATGGCCACCACTGAGAAGCATAATCTGGCCATTCGTGTGATATCACATATTTTAATGTCTAAAATGATATCCTCTTCCCACTGGCCATCGCCCGACTCATTAGGCGTAATGGGAGAAGACATTTGATGATCACATAACGGATCTCCTCCATGGAATAGACCACACATTATCACAACTCTAGTATTATCTGAATTGACAATTCTTTGTGCGCTTTTTATATGTATCACAAGTTTTCTCTCTATAGTCCACGAACTGATCACTTGATTCCTTCGTCTAGTGGTTCCAGTGATAGACAAAACAGATTGCGACCGATTTCGTGGCATCTCTGGTATCGAGTATATGGGCTCGTCATCGACTGTCCATTAAATTACAACAATTAATTGCAATTCAATTATTTTATTGCAAACATTTTTGCTTACATTCAATACTAGATATAAGTACTCCCACTAAATATGGTGTTTCTTCGTTAACTATCATTTCCCGAATCGGCTTTCAATACAATAAGACAATAAATAATTTAATAAAACTTTTTCTATTTGTAAATACCTTGTATTGAATCAATTGGTAATTTCCTAATAGATATTCGAGACGACCATTAAGTTTAAGTAAGTAAGCGTTGGCAGAGCCGTAAGCTTCTGGATCAGTATCTAATCCAATCTCTATAATCTCTTCCGGTTGCGAATCATATTTTATGTATAAATCCTGACATAACTTTAATATAATGTAATGTTTATCAGAATTCTCTTATATCTTATGTAAAATTTTTAGTTATTAAATATTATTACCGAAGAATTTTCAAATCTCAATTTGATAGCAATATCTGAGCATTTATTCAGTCTTTCTTTGAGATATACCGGCAATTCTCGACTGAAATCAATACCAATCGGGAACTGATATATCATTTTCTCGATCCATGTTTTCTGTTCCCTTTGTTGAGCCACTTCTTCGGCATAAGTTCTCATTTTGAATCGAAAATCATTCACTTCTGGATTCTTAAGCGAATCAAATTCTTTCAAATCTAACAATCAATGGTCTGAGTATTTCTTATCCATTAAGTTAACAAATAGTTGTATTACTTTTGCCAATAAGTAAACCGATTTGTGCGTCCAATTGAAGGGCCGCTTTGTCGCCCTTCTTCTCAATGAGCCTCAGGAGTGCCAGAAAAGGGCAGACATCGCACAGCCGTACCTCTTCGTCGTCCAGCTCTTGCTGTTCCGATGAACTCATATCGACGTAAGTGAAGACATAGGTCTGCTTGTCGTGAAGAGCACCAAACAGTGGCTCTTTCTGACACTTCTCCTCGAATATTATCTATTTGTGTCATATATTCACACATTATTTGCATTTCGTGTAAATTTCTATTCGTGAATATTATTTAACTTTTTAATTGTTTAACTAATAATTTATCTCAAGTAGAAATTGGATGTAATTGTATTTCTCAAAATTTTTTTATTAAAAGTTTGATAACAAAATAAAGTACAGTTTTCCATTGGAATACTGTTTAACAACTTATTAACTTTAATAACAGACTTTATGTACTAACTATTCTATCAATTAATTATATAAAACTATAATTAAAATTCAAACCTCTTTGATCTCAAAGAAAGTGATTTCTTTCATAACATTAACGGTAATTAGTATTCCGTTAGGCATCAGGACATCGACATCGATAGTGGGCTCAGCGTTGGACCAGACGTCGTAATTGGGAGCCCTCGACGCCGGACACATCACTCCCAGTAGTTTTCAATCAATTTAATTAATTAATTAACTAATTATAGCAAACATTATGTGTTTGTGTTGTTTATGCGTTCAAAACAATTGGTAAAAACAAACGGAAGAGACGACTGAAAGTGGCATTTCAGACGATAATGGGATCGAAGGGAAGTGGAAATGGGATTTCCGTTCTTCGGCGCCAAATCAGGCATCAAATATACAAATTCAGACCAGAGGTGGGGTAGGGATGGGACACACGGGGGGAATACACAATATGGCAT